CTCTTCTTCAACCTCTGAAATCTATTATTAAATTGAAACAACTTGTGTAAGCATGCCGATAACGCAATGACAACTGCTTTCCAGTCATACTTATGACCCTCAATCAAAAAAGCGATTAATGCTAACCCTGTAAGAGCACCACATAGTATAAAAATGGTTACAAGCCCTCCCTCCATTGTCAGTGGAGAAACAGGGGAGAGAGCCGTATCATTTTTTATGGGCTTCCTCTCAAACCACATGTTTTTCTGCATTTCCTCTTTCTATCTTGAATAAATGCCAGAGTGGACCAAAACCCGAAAATTTCTCTGTACAGCAGAAACACTACTTCGCTTCGTGCTTCGTCCACCACCTTTAAACGACCAACCTTTCCAGGTTGGGACTAGGAGTCGCTGGCTTGTATGAAATCGCTTTGACGGATACTTTTTAGAAAGAAAATTCATTTCGCCCTGAAGAGTTTCCGAAGTTGCAACAAATGCAATTCTTGTCCCACAATTTATTACATCCGTCTCCACCATTCCTGCAAGCTCGGTTGTTGAGTAGTTTAGCCGGGTTTGATCAAACTCGATAGGAAACACGGCGTGTACAGGGTTCATAAGGAGTAGAGTGATAAGTTCGTCCCTAATAAAATTATTCGCAGCCCCAGTTTCACTGAGAAGCCTTGTAAACTCTAGAAAATGCACTATACGATGAAAGTGCCATACGTATGTTGCTACCCCTGAAAACATCCATGGTCGCTGGGAAGGAGGGGAAAGGATTCTGTAGCAGTTATTAGATACAAAATGATTTTTTAAGGTTGGCAAGGCATTGAAACCGTAGTCAATTTTTCCCCAGTAAGCCCTGTAATCTTTAAACCGCAAGGTTTTGGCTAACTCTCTGATATCAATGGATGACGCAGGTAAATCCAAGACATGTCTGTTGAGACAAATTAGGTCTTCGAAGTTTTGAGAGCGAGTCTGTTTAAGTGGGGCGTTCAATTCGGATATCATTAGCCCGCTGTAACAGTTAGTAAATAGAAGCGAGACTGGTCCCCATGCGGCGAATATGAGGCGATAAAATAGAGATTTTCCGACCATTTTGGGCACTGAGGAAAAGTCGTCAAATAAAATGGAAACGAATGACAGCCAAATAGAGAAAGGGAGTTGTTTATATTTCCAGATCATGTAAATATAGAAAACGATAAACGTTAAGGTCATACTCGCAAAAAAACCTATCCATAACGTGGGCTTGAATGGCATCCAGTAAAACTCAAAGGTTAAGTAGGATTCGGCATAACAGCTAAGGAATTGATACCCATTACTATAAACGAATTCGTATAATTCTTCGTCGAACAACAGATCTTGGCCTACATAAGGGGTTTCAATATCTATCGTTGGATATCTGCCGTTTGTTTCTATTTCCAACGATGAATTTGTCGCTGCCACGATAGTAGTTGCCATATAAAGAGGTATAGAAATATTGCCGTTACGACTAAACGGATTAAAGTAACGCTTTGGTATTTTTTTGTTCCTGACTTCATGACTGATTCCACTTTCTTCAAGGGAGAAGTGCTCCACGGCCCAGATATGAGGTATGGTTGCCAGCTCAGAATATTCTTTCAAGATTTTATCGTCATGTATGCTAATTCAATCATAAGTCCCATAATTGGTCTCAAAGCTGCGACCACTTCGTATTTTGCAAACTTGAGGGGTTTGGTTGGTCCATCTTCCTGGAAGTAGTGTTAGGATGAAATTTTCGGTAACACCTTCTTCAATCCAAAATGATTTTATGGCCTTCTCCACTCCCTTGTTCGATACTACAACTGGAAAGATGGTTTTCGTTGAGCGTACAAAATTCCATCGTTCGTCTAAAATCTTGATGTCCTTACAATGCTTACAACGGAAAGCATATTGACTTTTGCATGTTTGTTGCCAGCCTGAAAAATCCTGCGTGGGATTTTTTTTAAAGAGAAGTTTTGAAATCCAAATGCAAAGTTTATTCGGCGCTGGACGACTGGTAGAAATGTCGAGAATGAATTTTTCTATATAGGACATATTTTCCATTTTGGCATAACCCTGCATGAGGATTAAAGTCATGGGAAGAAATATATTTTCCAAGAATGCAAAGATGTCTGAAGAACTTGTATTGTATAAAATTTGAACTTCGCAACTTTCGACACCATTAAGAAAGTTTTTTGGGATACTGATATCATATCTTGAACCCATGTTCTGAAGAGATTCCTTAATAAGGTAAAAAGTTTCCGAAATTAGGGCGAAGCAAAGTGCTCAATACATATTGGAGGTAGGAATTTATTAAAAACCTCTTTTGTGAACGAGCTATGGTAAATCCTATTTGTCTTTACTCAAGTATTTACCATACTGGGTGGCATTTTGAAAACTTGCTTTTACTTGGATTACACTGTTGCGTGTTCTCATAAATATTGTTTATATAGAGTGTCTCTCTGGATGGACATTCGTACGAATTGGGTGCATTAGATTGAGATTCTATTTTATTGGAGGAAATTTTGCAGTGGCGTTATGAAACCGGTACATATTTACATATTTATATGTATGATGCGAATCCTAGGAACTTAGCATGGGGAAAACATCTTGCATAGTTTGACCGAGTTAGTGGATTTTCTAAAAATTGGTAAAAAATGAAGGTCGCGACCTTCGTTGGTCCGGACGTCTTGCCGCACTTCTTGGCTGGCCAATAATCCGATTTTCTGTCGTAACCATGAAACCAGCGATTTTCCACGCTCTTCTGCAATGTCCTTGCTGATTTTCCGCAAATGAAGTTTGTAATGGTCTGGATTTATTGGCTGAGCACGAAGATTGGATTATCTTGTTTTGCACAGAGCCCAAAATTTTTGGATTGGCCGGGATTAAGGTGGATTTGGAGGGGTATCTTTCTTAGGTATAAAATCGAGACATTGAGCTTCTAATTATGAGTCCAAACTTTGGCGTCGTAGAATTTTTCCAAGTCAGCCCATAATAAAATTTCATTTTTTAAGCTAACGGACCCAGGGAAACCGTTGATGCTTTAAAATTATTATTTTTTAATTTATGAATTTATTGTACCATTCGCAAAGTAGGGTGGTGAAATATTGCTCAAACTACAAATGACTTGCCAAACAAGGTTTTTTTTGGAAGTTACTTTGTACCATCAATTTTGATTGTAAGCCGCATTTTTAGGGATGGAGAAATGATAAATTTCTTTCCTGGAGTCACTGTAAGGTCCAGCTTCACGTTTGTTTCGTCGTCAATTATGCAAATACTTTTGACATTATAGACATTTTTGGATAATAATTGTTTTCTCTACTTTCTTGGTGGTACACATATTTAGGTGCACTTTGTTTCATCCACGTTTTAATCCTGAAATTATGGAGTTAAAATTTCGTCAACGGGTTTTGTAAAATTTTCAATTTCCGAGCCGTGACAATGGTGGGAGTGGAAGGATTGGTCGTGAAAGGATTTTGATAGAAATCAATTTTTGAGAGGTGATTAAGGTAGGATATCGCCTTGGATTTTTTAAATGTAATTTGCCCGGAATCCTTATACTCATGGTGTGATATGGTGTGACGTCGTGCTCGAGTAGAATCCGGCGACGGTTTTGCAGTGTTTCTTGGCCATAGTTTTATCCTGAGCTGGTGCGATGGGCTTTCAGAAAAAAATACAATTAACTGCGCAGTAAACTAAAGCATACCGACTCTCAGATATTAAACCCCCCCATGTTATATATAAATATGTAACTCGGTGGTTAACGCAGCGGCAAGGTAGGCCACGCTATAAAGCAATTAAATTTTTATACAGCAACAAAAATTTCATTACGGTAAAATTCTACTTTGCGTGACAACTAATATATTTCCCAACTTTGGCTTGCTTTGGAATATTTGATTTTAAACTTTGCACGAAATTATTGAACATGAAGGATCTCCACTTTCCGATGAATTGATAAATTGTTTTGGAAGGTTGTCATGCGATGATATGTAGCTGAGCTAAATTAAAGGACACCTTCGACTTTTTCAACACATGTGAAATTCACCATTTTTCTTTGATCTTTTTTTGTGAAAAACTATGGCCGCCCGTTTCTCTTCAATTTCCAATATATTTATCCAGACGTTCGAAAAATTACAAAGTCCATAGTGAATCATAATGTAAATCGCATGGCGAATCTAATCCGCTTATCAGATTTTAATTCTACGTCGTAGTTTTTCAGCAACCAGCTGCTGACACTTAAGCCTTTACAACTAGGTACATATATTTATTTTTAATAACCTTTACATATACATTTTGATATATTGAGCCCATTGAGAGGACTCAAGTCAATGATCGCATGTCTCACAAATTGAGCATAGCAAAATAATTTGTGAAGATTTGCAAGTTATGGGAGATTTCGCAAAAATTTTGATGGAAGACAATGATTTTTTCACAAATTTACCAAGTAGTTAGGCATATTCTTATTTCGCAAGATTATTTTGCAAAATCATCCTCACCATCAAAGATTAAAGAAAAATTAAAGAAATCCATGAAAACAGTACTAAAATGGGTATTTGCGAGATAGGAGAGTTTTGCAAAGTCGTATTTTGCGAATCCCCTCGCGACATAAATATTCTGATCTTTTCAAGTTTGCTTAATGAGCTGCAATGCGAAATAATACGATGTCGTGAGTACGCCCATTTTACTGGTCTCCAAAAATTCTTGGTTCTCAGGGGTGCAGATATTTTTACCCATTTATATAGAACAGAACCTTATAGATAAATGAATGAAGCCCTTATTCATTCATTCATTTAGGTATAAAAGACTCATTCATTCATTCATTCATTCATACTTCTTTTTCCAAACTTGGTTCAGGTTCCGTCCCAAATATAGCCCATAAATCGAGTCAACGCAGAATGGAGAAGACACAAAAGGGTTAAATCTAAATTTGGTTAAAAGGGCTCAACCCTTACTGCATATTGTGTCATATTTTTGATTCTTTCTTGATTTTTCTGAGTCAGTAACCTTTTAAATCTTTCCTGGAAATATTGTCCTGCTTAAAACGATCCGGATTCTTATACAATTCCATCGACTTCATAACTCACACCAAGAAAAAATATGACGCAGGAATGTCCCCATTGCCCGAAAAGCTTCACATCTACACGTTCCTTATCCCGAAATCTCGCCACGCATGACGACACGGCTCAAATTAAGTGTCAAGTAAGCAATATACCCAATTTGCATCTACAATTAATCTAAAAAAAGTCAAACTTATACATAATTGTACCACAATTATTTCCAGATTTGTAGAAAAACTCTAAAAAACCGTGGCGGCCTGTCCACCCACTTGAGCAGGATTCACAACAATCGGAAAATCCATCGTTGTGCAATTTGCCTTCGAAACTACGCCTCTCCGGGGGGTTTGGAAAATCACGTGGCAGCCGTGCACACCCCGGGACCACGACCCCATTTTCCATGCAAGTTTTTACACTGTGACAAAAAATTTGTGAGCAAGGGAGCCCTTACAAACCACTTTAAAGTAGTTCACTCCGAGAACCCGGTCCGATTTCGGTGCACCCTTTGTAGCAAGGAATTGAAATCTAAGGCCAGTTTAATGAAACATATTGCCATTCACACGACCGAGAAGCCCTTCAAGTGCGCCGAATGTGGGCACAGTTTCGTGGACATGAGTGACTTGTCAAGTCATGAGGTGAGGTCAATTCACATAACGTACTTTTGCATAATGGTCATATTGCCTAATTTTTATTGCATAAAAGTCATTTTACATAATAGGCCTTATCACATAAAAATGTATCGCATAATTGTTTCGAAATTAAGATTAAGAGGAAATTGCACATGGGGAAACCTCCTTAATGGTGTAGAATTCATACTTAATTCGAAATAAATAATTCGAAATTGGCATGAAATTTACATTTGAGATGAGCCGTATTCGCACAATGTACATCTTTCAAGTGTAAACCTCAGATCCTCGTGGGACTAATTTTATTTTGTTCAGCACAAAAAATAAGTATATCCAGATTTGTGCATTTTTCATAATGCCCTAATTTGATCGGGTTTTCAGCATTTTTCCAGCCAAAACTTTGGTTTTTTGAATTTTTTAACTTTTCGAATTTTACTGAGAATTCAAAAACATAGGTATCGCTTCAGAATGAATAACCTGACTTATTAAAAATCCAATGCTCACGAAATTCAGAACTTTTTGTCGTTTTTTAAATGTTAAAGATTCAGAACTCCTTGAACTTTTATATTTTCTAAGAATTTTGGAATTGGATCTTTCATATATCGAATAAGTCATTCTTAAGAGTGATGTTTTTGAATTTTTGGATTCGCCTTCAAATTCGAAAATTTGTCGTATTTTTAAAAACGAGGTTTGGGCTGGAAAACAGTTTAATGCATTATGAAAAATGTACAAATCCGGATAAGCCAAGGGTCGCGAGCTTATCCGGCGAGCGATCTGAGCTTCTCGAACTTTTTGCGAACCGCGCTTGAGCAAGCTGAGCTTTTGAAAATCGTTGTTAGACTCATCTCTAGTGAGGTAATATTTTAAAAAAAATATATTTAAAAAATCAATTTTCTTACAATTTTAGGAAACACATCGGGAAAAATCTGTCCGAAATAGAATCAAATGTCACCTCTGCCCAATCACATTCTTGACCCGCACCGGGAAACGGCTTTATGTTCAGAATTATCACGAGGATCAGAGCAAGTATCCCTGCCCAATTTGTGACAAGAGGCTAAAAACTGCGAACAATTTAAAGTTCCACGTCGAGGCGAAGCACACCACGGACAAGGAGCTCCGCTACGCGTGCGACCAGTGTGAGTACAAAAGTTGGAAGAAGTTCAGCCTGAGAAAGCACGTGAAACGGAGACACGTGGAGGGGCGAGGGACCACGTGTTATTTCTGTGGGAGGAACTACTCCGCGTTTACTGATCTCGTACGACATTGCAGTTTCAGACATACTCTGGAGAAATAAGAAAGTGGGTTTGTAAAGTTCGTTTAAAAAATGTATGTATTTACAGTCAGGTGCAAATCGTTTGGGTGACTGTAAAGTTTTGCACATTTTCACATTTGCAATAGAACCTTTTCTCAAGCTACACCGGGACTATATACAGGGCGAGTTATGTCAAGAAATAAAGCCAAACATTAGGAATCACATGGCGCTTATACATAATTTCGCTGAATGCCGCTTTTTAAAAAAAGTATTAAGAGTCAAAGCACCCACGAGCGCTTTGATTTTCGCCTCGTGGAGGAAAAGGAGGAGAAAATTTTCGAAAAAATTGAATTCGGCAGCCAATATTTTTCTTCAAAGGAATGATAAGTGCCACGTGATTATTAATTTTTGGCTTGCTTTTTTGATATAACTCGCCATGTAATCCAAGCCTAGCAGTAGGAAATAAAATAGTGTGCGGTGTATTTCGACTTCGTAGCTACTGTACATTGTGTGGGATGGTGTTCTACTAATTATTTCACAATTTGGTAATTTTTTGATAATGCGATAATTTTTAATAATCTAAATAATCAAAATTGATGATGAAAATCAGCGTGACTGTAAAGATTTGGAGCTGACTGTATTTATCTACATCACGTTCCACAGAGTTATATTTGGATAGAGCGATTTACTCGGGCACAGTATGTTAGAGAAAGGTCGGACAGCTTGAGGTACATTAAGAAAGAATTTACATAACTGCGTCAACCACAACGTCAAAAAGAAGAATTAATAAGTCAGTAGCGTTCAAACACTACATATATTTAGTGGATGATTTCTATTGATGTTTTAATTTTTTGTAAATTAAAAAACAGTTGCGTAATTTTTATTAGTTTTAAAATTTGAAATTTTAACTTTTCATCATGAGAAATTTTTAACGCCTTATCGATACTACATAATTATCCAAACTTCTTGGTTCAAATCTGGCCATGTTTTTTCGGAGTATGTAATGTGCTCTGTCTAATAAATATCAAGCTCTATGGGACTTAATGCCAATGCAATGAGTTCCTTTTTTGGGCAGTATTTTCGCTATTTTTCATCATTTCCATCAACAATATTAGTGCTACCCATCTTGATATTTGTTATTGAAGTAAACAAGTTGGCAACAAAAATGTGTACATACATTCATTATGTTTTCAACTCACAAATATTGAATAAAATGTAAAGCGTAATGTGCAATGCGTAATATGCAAAAAAAATATGGTACAATTTATATTTATTGATTTTATTTATTAATTAATTGGTTGCATTTGAGAATCGGCGATTTATCCACAATAACAAGCAACATTTTTTAATATGTAATAACGTAAATTTTAGTCACACTACCAACGTGATTATTGAGTGCCCAGCCAGCATAACTAGCTATGCATAAGCCACCTAGCTCAACCACTTTTTCTGTTTCGGGCTACTCAAAAGCTGATCCAAAACATAAACATAGTCAAATCTTGCAATCGACTTACAATTCAAAATTTAAGCATAAATTTAGCATATATGTAGTTAGCATTTAGTTTGCAGTTTCTAGTGGAACTATGAAATTAAACTTCTAACGATCAATCTTGGACCACTACCAGAGCCGACGTTGTCAGGTGAAATATTATCAGCGAAAAGCAGTTTTTATAAAAACTATGAAATTTGAGTCCGAAAGAATTACTTAGGACCACCACGATAGTCGGCGTTATCAGGTGAGATATTATCACTGCAAAGCAGTTTTGACTGATCAGGTTGAGCAGACCTTATCGTTTTCAATTTAGAAATTAAAATTGATACCACCAATTTCAATTGTGGAAATGTATTGCTACTAAAGCCAATTTGAAAAATTACCCCTGGTCGAGAGACATTTCAATATAATTTCATGTGAAATTATATACCTTGCGAAAATCATTAGCAAGACCATAAGTCAGAAAGAAGAGAAATACCGTAGCTTAAATAAATATATTAATTACAAGCTACGTACATACATACATACATATTATATTGACTTACCTAATCATAAGTACATATGTATTTTGGCATGGCAAAATGTAAAAGTAATAAAGTTTAGTTCCAAGCTCTGTAAAAAAGTAGCTGAAATTAGCTCACATAAGGTGATTGCGATCGAGACCATTAAACTTTACATCACACTTGGTTGAAACAATTAATACCTTTTGACAATTGTTATTTTGAATTTGCCAAAGCCTCTCATCGCTTGTTTACATTAACAAAAGTGTAATCAAATAATCAATGCCCTTCTGCCAGATGACTAAAGATGTGGATCTGTCGAAGAACGTTCCATCTCCCATTGTCAATTTCGATGGGTGACACGACCTCATGAAACGTTTGACCCACTTCGGTCCATTCCTTGATTTCATAAATTCGATGAAATCGCAAGATGTTGTGTACGGTTTGCCCAGCATGTTGAACATGACGTGGATGAGGATCACACAATCCAAAGCAATAATTACGAATAAAAACAGAATTGATAGCGGGATCTTGTCGTACGAAGTAATCAAGATGTAGTGGGAAACAGTGTCAGCAGCAATGACCCCTCCAATTGCGAGCGGCATAGACGGCTGGCACCAGCCATTGTTCTGATAGGTGGTTAGCAGAGTAAGAATTCGATACAAGTATAAATGTTCATGACCATGGTTACGGTCAGATGTCTCTTTCCTGCAAAAATGAAAGAAGCTTAGCAAAAATAATTTAATGATATTTTCAAGCTTTTCTTAGATTCTCCGTAAAGTATTTCAATTCCGTGTGAATTATTTCTGGAATGCATGTATTTCTGGCATTTCTGGCAAAGAATTTCTAACAAATTAAATAAATAAAATTGGCTTTAGTGCTTGGGTAAAGCAAAATATGTATTGTAATGCACGTGGAAACATACAAACTCTAACTTGGAGCATTGCTAATAAAGCTTTTCATTCTCATAGAAACTTACTAAGCAAAGCCAAACCAGATTAATGAACTATGAGTATTTTTATCTAGAGTCGAAAAGCACATGGTAAATTTTGCAAATAACATTTTTTTTGTTCCAATACAGACTATAATAAGGGTGCAATAATGGTTTTAAAACAACTATGATGTAACACAGTTTCAAGGAATTTCATTTTCTCCTCATTTTGAGCGAGAGAATGGTGACCGAAAAAACGCGAAAAATAGAATTTCCTTAGAAATCCATATTCGTGAGTTATTTTTTACGAAACTATGCGATATTGTTGTTATACAAAAAATTATTGCACCCTAATTTTTGTCTGTATCGGAACAGAAAAAGTTGTTGATTTTGGGAGCTTTTCTACTATGCAATATTCTGACTAATGGGTGTAGTATTTTTTAAATCAACGGTTAAAAAAGAATAAATCTTGCAGCCTTTCGGCAGAAACTTACTGTTTCATGACTTCCAGAATTAACAGCTTGATCTCGACCGGGTATAACAACGGGATGTACAGAGCATAAGATAGCGTACCGGGGGGTGATGACCAGCCAGGCATAATACTCTCCGATTCCGATCCAAACCCTCGTCAAGAATTCGGAATCACCATCATCGTCCCAGTTTTTACAGTTCAGAATCATCATGCTACTCAGCAGGGGAGGCATGCAGGTTTTAACCAAACCCATGAATGACACTGCTAGTGGCAGAGAGACGACCAATGATGCGGCCGCGGCGCCAAGTATTGCAAAATGTGGGCCAACATGAATTGTTCCTTGATAAAAAGTGTAAACAATTATACAAGCACACAAAATATTTTTCCATGGAACCCTGTAGCAAGGAGTCAAAGACTTTGATGTTGCATGATAAGAGCCAACCCATGTTTACGTTAATTTTATCTTAGAATTTTCATCTCATCTCATTTCTATCAAAAGAGCAAAAAAGGCACTGCCTTCTTACTCTGGTACAGACTGGTGTAAACCTTTCTTTACCCTTACTATGACACCACCGAGGGGTGTGAAACATCAAATATACTCCCAGTATGGGTTACCAATAATTAGTTAATGTAATTTTGTGTAATATATTATATTTTAGTTAGCTTGACTCATGCCATGCAAATTTATTAGACACATATCTTCTTCAGTCAACTTCAGATCTGTTTCCATGCACGAATTTTGTACTATTACGATTTCTTCTATCATCCTCTCGATGTGTAGTAACGCAAAAAGGGCAACTGCATGAAGGAAGCCGCAATAACCAACGAGGACTAATTTCCAGTTTTCCGTCGGTGCCTTGCTCGGACTCCACCAGTACACTCGTAACCAGTTTGCTGTGCCAACAATGTGTATCGCGGCGACCAACACGGCAACCAATAAGGGAAATAATGTGGACCAAGTACATCTTGCCAAACGGAATTTATTTCGTACCACATTGATCAAAATTGCTTTATGGATGTTACATAATTTGTAGATGTTCAACATCAATGGGATGTTGGAATTGGGGGATAAAACGAGTTTAGTAAAAACATTTCCTTTCATCGCAAAAGATTTCAAATTATTTCTGGCATTATGTCAAATAAACCTAAACTTTTAATTTGTTCAACCAGAATGCATTTTAGGGCTTTACATAACTTGTCATTTTTTGCACCAATCGTGCATAAGAACCGTAGCAAAGATTTAGCAAAGTACTTAACTGTGCACCACTTCGTCCCTAAGGTGCAGAATACCTAATGAACTGGGTATTTTGCCTCAATAGTTACAGCACAGAAAGCTTGTTAAATTTATTTAGTAGCTTGAGAAAATTAGTGGCAAAATAGAGTACGAGCAACACCATTTGTTTGCTAAATTACTGACAGACTTCTCTGCAGTTGTAAGAGAAACATAATTTACAAATGCTACAAAAGTGAAGATTGGCATAGTGGACCTTGATTTTAGTAGAATAATATGATCCAATGCTTCTGGAATCATGGTACATATTTTGTGTATGTACATAAAAGCATTTCTATTAGCTTAATTTAATTATTTAAACCTTGGTCAAGGTTAAGTCATTGTCCGAGGCAAAGTCATAGAGGTAATTTGTGGGTTGTGCAACAAGCAGCAAGGTGACATTGAGCAGAGTTGCCTGGATCCTGGGCCACTAAACCTTATGTATTTTTAAGTTACAAAAGTGAATTTAAAATTGAGTTGCATTTTTTATGCAGCAAAGTAGCAGTCGAAAAGTTGCCTTTTCGACGGCAACCAAAGGCACGACAGGATTTGAGTGTACATCGGCAAATTTAGGGCAAATAACAAATTAAATATTAATCTAATTTGATGTACTAAAATTAAGAGAATTTGAGTAAATCATAATTCAATTGTAAAATTGCTATTTTCTCTACAAACACTATTTGTTCCAACCGATCATCTTTGGTCTTAAATCTTTGAAGGGAATTCATGCCGGGTAGGGGTCATCATGCTTATACGATTTTAGTATTTTTTGGGTACGGATTGCATAAAATATTAATCAACATTTGTCGAAGCAATGCATTTCACCCTAATAATTTTGCGTAAGTGAATATGTACATAATTTCCTTCCTTAACCGGATTGATCAGCAAGTTATAAGTTTCAGAGTCAATGCTCAAGCTATTTAAAGCACCAAACTTTCAATTTCTCAGCCATGTACTGCGACGAATAAATAGGAGAAAGCAGAATACATTATTAAATAAAATATTTAAGTTAGCAATATGACATGACAGGTTATAAAGAAATATGCAATATGACTTTATTTCATACCGAGAGGCAAAGAGGTAATTGATAATCGATAATGTACTAGTACCTTAAAGGACCGCGTATTGTTTGGTATGATGGGGCTAGGTCCTGTGTACCGGATAGTTATCTGGTACCCGGCATACCCGGCCTGGTTTGGGTCCCCAGGTACCCGGGCGGGTATACTTAAGTAACGGGCGGAGTAGTGTAAATATTCATTTATTTGTTACTTGAAATGCATTGCTTTACAAACAAATTATAATTCGATGGATTTCAGTTTTGTACTTAGCATATTTGGAAAGAATGGGTAGATACAGCCATAGTCAACACTAATTTGGAAATTATCATAGAAAAGTTAAGATCATTTTGAAAGCACTCACGCCAACCACGTATGATCATCATCTTATGGCCATCATCGTCCCAGTCCGTACAGTCCAGATAATTCTTGGCCACGATGTACATACATATGTATGTAAATACGTATTTTGTCATGATTTTGTGTGCTATGATTTGGGTAGCATCGTAAGTACTTTATGTAGAACATATTTTCACGGAATAAAGTAACCGGCTCATATGTTAGAGATAACTGAATGAACATGAATGTTATGAAGGTGATGGCTAATGTAACGTGGAACTGCCACGACTACAAAATTATACAGTTTTAGCCAGAATTAATGGTAGGCGTTTCTTCCTTCATAGTTTACTTTAGTTTAAGTAAATTCATTTTAAGTCAAAAAGTCATCTCATGACTGTTAATGTGTGAAGGCGGAAATAATAATTTGTGCCAATTTATAAGAATAAAGGGTTTCAATGAAAGTAATTCTGAATGAAATTGAACAGAAGTTTTCATAAAAAGTCTTCGCATTATTCGGCGACATATTTGTGAGTTGAATCGAGGAGGTGACAAGGTACATATGCGCATAAGGTGTCCTTCCAAACGAGTGGGTGTGGACGTAGATAGTGTTGAATGTTTAAAATATTTCTTCCCCAATATATAGATAAATAATAAAAAAATCCACAATTCCTTAAATATTTAAAGAAAATAGTTACTAGATAAATCCATAACTTGTTTAAAGTCCAAGAGCAGCAGCGATATCGATACGTCCATAACCTGTGGGATATTGAATCTTGTATGATAAATAAGTTCAAACGCTTAGAAAAGAAGACTTGCCATATGCATTGTTGGGGAAGTCCTCAGCCCCCGTTAAACCACAAGTTCTATCTTCATTGGAAAGTGGGGGATGGAACGCCGAGTTAGAAATGGCGTCAACCACCTCGTCATAGCCGTAAGTCGGATGTGCAGAAAGTAGAAGAGCAATGGCTCCACTCACGTGGGGTGCAGCCTTTAGAAGACGAATTATCTTAATTCATTTGAAGTAATTAGATTTAATCTGTGCATAATACTAACCGGTGAAGTCCCCGATAAAAATTTGTACGTATTAGGAGCCTTCCAGCTAGAAAAGATGTCACTTCCTGGCGCAGAAATTAGTGGCTTAAGTCCTCCAGATGGACTTGGTCCTCTCGAAGAGAACGGCGACAATTCATCTGTATCAGTCGTGGCTCCGACGGAAATCAAATTCGGTTGGTTTCCCGGATCCACTGTTGTTCCACAGGAAGGTCCCGAATTGCCAATGGCAAACACCGGAATGATTCCTGCACTTCGCCACGCCGATATCTGGCTGTTGAACCAACCAGACCCGAAAGGTTGGTACCAAGAGGCCGAAACAATGTGTGGTCTTGGCTGTGCCGTGATCATAAATTGGGCACAAGTCGTTAACGCAGATTCCGTCGTCAAACCTTGATGATTAATTCCACGACAAGCTATCCACCTGGCGGCGGGGGCGACCCCGATTCCCTGTTTTCGTCCGAGGATGACCCCAGCGCAGTGGGTCCCGTGACCATTTTCATCCGTGGGTTCGTCAGTATTGTCAGCCCAGGCGCCCGCGTAACCGGGAGAAAGAGCGGAGTGATTTAGGAACACGCCGGTATCAATAATTCCGACGACGATTCCTGTAAGTATGTAAATTTCATGACTGATTTTTTTTCGAGCACGACACCTATAAAGTTACGTGAAAAAAGGTTTCTTCTATGGTTCATCTTTTAAAAAGGCATTATTTTTTCCATGTAAACCTGACAGAAAAAATGACGAATTCTTAATAGATGAACCATAAAAATATATTGCATAGCTGTCCATAGTGTGGATCTCGGTAGATAGCTTTGGAGCACTAAGTGAGGGTGTAACGTTGACTTTGTTGAGCACGTGGCGTACTTCTCGGTGAGCCAAAATCGGTTTTCGACCACTTCTGACCTTGTTTTGGACTGAACCATTAGCTCTAAAGTTCTTAATGATTGTCTGGATGGTTGTCCTTGCTAATTTATACTTGGTCCCTATTTGTCTCTGCGACAGCCCCCCTTTTTGTCCACCCTTCCAGTCCTGAATGACAAGATCTCGAATAGCGATAGGAATTTCCTTGCGTGTCGACGCCATCATATTTTTCTGGAAGAAAATTATTTAAAAATTAATGCGGCATATGTTATTGATAGATTTATTAAGTTACCTGATTTTATAAATTGGAGAGATTTTTGTTGTTGACAATTAAAGTGAAGTGGACGTAGACTTTTGTCCGCTCAAATTTCATCCTCTCTCGCTCTGCACTATGATTCTCAGTTTTCCCAGAATTTTCAGAAATAACTCATATGTTTTATGAAATTACGTTAAATTTGTGAGAATTTGATATATCAATGATGAAAATAGGTTCAGTAGTTCAGTGACAATTTGAAAATGAAATTGACGCGACTATGTGGACGTAGACATCTGTCCGACACTGTACCTAGGAGAGCTAGCTAGGAGTGCTGGAAACTAGAAATCTCATCTTACCCCGAAAATCTGATTTTACCACAAAATATTCCTATCGTGTGGGAAACTGAGACAAAGTCTTGAAATTCTCTGGAACATCCAAGAAAAATTTGTATACAAAATTTCAATAATTTATAACTTTTTTACTATTGAATGTTTTTCAAAAAATCCTTCATATTCTTGTTCAGCATAGTTTAATTAGTCTATAAAATCATTTTCAGGAAAATCTGAGGCAAAAAATAATTTTTATACAAAATTTCGAAGCTTTCTAGAAATTTTAATTTTCGAGACCGCCGCAAAAAAAAGTATTTTCTTGCTCAGGGGACCATAATAGGTATTTACACAAAAATTATCAGCCAAATCCGAGCTAGTCCACTGAAATAAATCCGAGCTAGGCCGTAATAATGCAATTTTACCAAAAATAATTTACAAAATTCACTCCCCAATCACTACAGAAGAGAATAAGAACCAGTTCAAAATAATAAATTAAAGAAGGAAGGTTGAAGTTTATTAATTATTTGGAACATTTGTTATAATTTATGATTAATTCTCCAATATAATTATTCGACTTGAGTAAACAAGAGGAGAGAAAAACAGAACGAGAGTGGGCATGGATGAGTGTTCAAAAGTTGTTTTCCCACGTCCAAAAAGCATCCTCGCGAAAGAAACAGTCTATTCCAAGATATATTTTGTCGTATGGCTGCGAGAGTCAAGGAAGGGTCTACCCGACCGGAAGAGACGGTGGTGGTAATGACGAGGAGAATTTCATGTCGAAAGAATTTCTTTTTTCACGTAGGGAAAAGGTTGAACGAATGAGTTTTGGTGGTCAGCCCAGTTTCATTGTATATCATTGACAGCATGTGTCACTAGTTCGTAGTAACGTGTAATATTTTATTAGTCTAAGGCATACTTAATTTTGCATGGTGAGTTTTTATTTTCTAATCCACCCCATTTCTAAACAGTCTCATATTGTATTATTTATTTTAAGCAAATTCTTCCACAATCCAACACACAAGTTTTGAATTCGGCGAAAAACATGTAACAATTATGTACGTAACATTGTTTGTGTCAAGTTGTATCACAGAATTTAAACAAGTTATTTACCTATAAACGTATTTATACCATTCACTGTTTAAATAAGTTTATGCAAACTGATTTCTATTAACACTCGAATCAAGTCAAATCAAAACAAACAAGTGATATGAAGTACAACCATCACAAAAAATTGCAAACAATACCACACAGTTAACTAATGAAACGGTGTGCGGATGATGCCACCCGATCAATCGCACCCCGGCTAACGCACCCCACCATTGCCACCCCTAGGATGATGCCACCCCCGATCATTCGCACCCGAGCAATCGCACCCCTGTAGATGCCACCCCTTATCAATCGCACCCCTGTAGATGCCACCCCTTATCAATCGCACCCCTAGGAGTATCCCACCCCCGATTTTGTGAGATTTTGACTAATTTTCGGGCACAAATAAATGGGTGTAAATAATGGACACAGTCCTAATGAAGGATTTACACATTAATCCTGCTACTAGTAAAAATAAAGCAAACGTGTACGTATGTATGTACATATTACTTTCTTAATGCTTCCCCTAGGCGTGTAATTTATTCAATTATCATCAGGCTTGATAAATTAAATTCATATTTGGACAAAAAATCTATAAAAAATTAAATCTCCGTAAAAATTGAAACACATAAGTCAATATCAACGGAAATAAGTCTCAGTAAAAATTCAAATATCGTCAAAATATAAACAATTAGGTCTACAAATTAATCAGCAGCTTTATTTTACTAGTAATAGGATTAATGTGTAAATCCTTCATGAATTCTTAGGATTGTGTCCATTATTTAAAAACGATGACGGTAACTCAAAATTTCACTCATGAGATAATCCTAGCATTGTTTTATAACCCCAATAAATTCAGCAACATATCGCATATTTACACTCATTTATTTGTGCCCGAAAATTTGTCAAAATCTCACAAAATCGGGGGTGAGATACTCCTAGGGGTGCGATTGATAAGGGGTGGCATCTACAGGGGTGCGATTGCTCGGGTGTGAATGATCGGGGGTGGCATCATCCTAGGGGTGGCAATGGTGGGGTGCGTTAGCCGGGGTGCGATTGATGGGCTGCGATTGATCGGGTGGCATCATCCGCAAATCAATGAAACTGCGAAATAAACTTTACAATCCTGCTCACATTCCGCTAGCGCAAGTCCAGGTGAATAAATCTGATTTATTCAACAGTATAATGATTTATTAAGTCATTATTATTGAGCTAACCATCAACATTTTTTATCCGCATCTATAAATACAAATAGGTACATATTTGCGCAACAAATTTATTCAGAAAGGGGTGCAAGTGTCAAATTTATTTGCACTTTTGGTGATGAATATGTAAAAACGCAATGAACATGTGTATCTACAATCTGGTATGGATATACTCGGATATGTGACGAGCTAGAATCATAAATACAGGAAAAGTAACGTTAATGACTATTTATTATGAGCAAAGGTCACTTTTCTTTTCATTGTTATCTTTTTTGGATATTGAAGAAATCATAAGGCATTAGTATATACGTATTCTTTATTTCGCCCCTATAATTTGAGTGTCCCTCGTCTTTGTGAAGGCGAGGTTTTTCGTGCTTTCGGGCACTGTTCTTTTGTCTGTGAAGCAGTGTAGTTGTAAGTTTTCTTGTCTCTTCCAAAAAGTTGTAAAAATTGGTTGAGTTTTTAATAAATACAAGTTAACTTAATTGACGACGAGTGTTAGTTCGTCACTTATTCCCTCAGCCCTTCTTAGGAGAGATTGGAGAAACCGACTGCGACGGGTCGTTGCGGAGGACGGTCTCAACCCGTTGAGTATCATTTTATAGTCGATCTCATCATCTGGAGGTTCTACCGAGAGTCCGAGAAGGACCAGAGAGAGGGATTGTTAAAGAACAAGGATCACCAAAAAAGAATTGCCTCTTTGAGGACCAGACCTGGAGTATTCCGGGTCACAGCAGGTGATACCTTTCCGTTTTTAGTTTTGTTCGGTATAAGGGGAGAAGGGGTTAGCACCGTGACCAGATCGAGAGCCTGTGGGTGGAGTAGCTGAGTAGGAGTCGAGCCATTAGAGAGGATATCGGCCGCAGTTTACTTCCCAGGACCCTGAGTTCGCGGACCGCGACCTCTTCCATCCGTTTTGTATTCAAGAAGAATATTATAGAAGTTGTCTTGCCTCTTTGAGGGCTCCATCCTGTGCATACGGGAGCTTAAGAGGTGGAATTGTTCTGAGAGAAAAAGTTGAAAGGAACAATTATTAATCATTTTCGTCACTTATTCCCTCAGCCCTTCTTAGGAGAGATTGGAGAAACCGACTGCGACGGGTCGTTGCGGAGGACGGTCTCAACCCGTTGAGTATCATTTTATAGTCGATCTCATCAGATATATAAATTTTATTGACACGGTACTATCACAACATGCTTAAGTTTAGGAGCATAAAGGGCACCGCAATTTTAATTTATGTATATGATAAATTCTATTCTGGAAAATGGATTAAAATGGGGTTAAATTTAATGCACCACTGAATAAGCTGAAATCTACCACAAATTTTAGCTGAATTTGCCACCGGATGAATTTCTTCCAACTTTAGCCTTTTCAGCCACCGATTTAGATGGTGGTTACCACAAATTTAGATGAGCTGCCATCACCATATTTAATGAGCATAGGATTATAAAAGTAATATAATTTACAATAATATGATTTATTTATTTGTATAATACGTCTATATACATGTCTCTTTTATAAATACACCTGAAATTAAATAACCTAAGCGCTTTTTTAGATTGGAGGATAATTCCTCCCGCTCATCTCCTCCCCCTCGTCTGCTCCCGCTAAACCGCTCCCACTCGTCTCCTCCCGTATACATTTTCCTCCCCGTACCATCTCCTCCCCGCAGATCTCCTCCCCTATACATTTTCCTCCCGTTGCATCTCCCTCCGTATTATATATTGTCTGACTACCCATTGGGTAGTATCCAATGTACGCAAGATGATTCGAGATTTGGGTTAGGAGATGGTTAGCCCAGATTAGGTGAGATGGTTTTGGGGATTTTTATAAAATCTTCGCAATAAGGATAATTATTATGTTTGTAACTCGACCATTTATCGCAACCGGTAAGGCTCTAGTTCATTTTCATCGAGTGTTTAGTCTCACTCAACCCGTGCTCCATGTCTTTAAATGTAATTTCTAAAATGGCATCAACTTCATGAGTGTTGAGATAAATGCAACTTTTGAAAGCTTAATGTAAAGCTAATTTTTGGTACTACAAAACCTTGGTGTTTTGAAAAATTAGAAAAATCATTTACTATTTTTGCACACTAAATTTCTTCAAAAATGAATCTTCTAATTTTTCAAAACACCAAGGTTTTGTAGTACCAAAAATTAGCTTTACATTAAGCTATCAAAAGTTGCATTTATCTCAACACTCATGAAGTTGATGGCGTTTTAGAAATTACATTTAAAGACATTAACACGGGTTGAGTGAGATTGCGGGCGAACGCGTCATCCACAACAGTCTTAAGGGAGAAGAGTTACCTAGATACATATGTACGAGTTTCGTATACTTCGCAAGCCTCGTACCACAACATAATTTTGCGAAGTTTGTGAACGTGCGAATTTTTTAGCAGAAAATGCATAGCATGTTTGAAGCTTACACTGCTCCATGGCTGATGGCGCCACAAATTTTACTTCACCAACTTCTTATCTTACTTATTTCCAGTTACCAACAGCAATAACTTCAAATTTAATTCGAACAAGAAATAAGGAAGCTAAGGAATTCGAGAAGCGACTTCAAAGACTCTCATAAATCTCTTCACATGAAGCAAAGTTTTGGCTTGAAAATTTTTGGCGCATTCCATCCCTAGTATTTACTTCGAATTTGTCTTAGATGCGGCAAAATTAGTAACTATGCAACCCCCCCCCCAAAAAAAAAGGGGGGTAAAAGAAGAATTGCAGACCGTTTAGATTGGCAATAGTTTTTTAATTTAAACAATGGAAAAGTTGCAAGCATGTATCTACCATTTCATGATGCCGGCATCAAGGTATTGCATGTTATAGAAATAAATTTTACCTGTGCCTCATCAAAGGCAGTTTTTGAAAATTGTCTTGTTTCAAATTATGTTGCTAAGCAAACATGCAAACTAGTAATCTATACCCACTTTGAACGGCCCAAAATCTCTTATTTGGAATACATTGGGTAATACGAAAACATATAATACGAAGGGAAATGCATCGGGGAGGAAAATGTATCGGGGAGGAGATGGTACGGGGAGGAAAATGTATACGGGAGGAGACGAGCGGGAGCGGTTTAGCGGGAGCAGATGAGGGGGAGGAAACGAGCGGGAGGAATTTTCCCGTCACCGCTTTTTTAGCTTTCGCAACCCTACATTCTTACGCTTTTGACCAAATGGAATGGTTTTGGCTTCTGGTCTAACATCATAACGCGTATTCTGAACTTCTAAACCAATTATTTCCTTGCATCCATTTTTCCAGGTCTTCCAACAGAAATGTAAAATTGCTAGATGTCTCTCCAGCCGTAACGGCAATACTGGTTGGGTGAAAAGTTCGGTTTTCTAAGAAACCCCCACTACTAGCACAGGAAACCAGAGTATAGTCGGCTCGATTTTTTTAAGAATCCGATTCGATCCGACTTGGTCGGAGCCTTATAAAATCCGATCCAATCTGACCTGGCCGGATCCTAAAATAATCCGACCCTATCCGAGTCTATCGGATTCGGATTGGACTGGATTAATCGGATTAAATTCGATAGCCTACTGTTCTATAGTATAGTTGGATTGATGTTTTTTCAAATCCAATCCGATCCGATCTGATCCGACTTGGTCGGGTCATAAAAATCCGATCCGATCCAACTTTATTGGGTCAGAAAAAATCAAACCAATTCTACCCTGTTGGATTCGGATTGGATTAATCCGGTAAAGTATATATCCTAGGACTCTCTAAAAGAATATTAGACGCAACTGGGCTTGAGTGTCTAAAATTTGGGAGAATTTTCCTCAGAAAGGGATGATTGTGATCACTGGTCTAATTAAAAACTTGCGAATACGTCATTTCTTTGGTTTTAAAAAACGTTGTTCAGATAGATATATTTTAACTGCAGGACAACTGCGAGAGTAGTGATGACCACCCGAAAGGTAATACTTACGTCGCTTCTCCTGCCCAGTCTAGTCAATGATATACAAATATATGCACAGGTACATGCAGCAATAAGGTTAGCAATAAGGAAATTAGCATGATTTCTAGAGATTATTGTGCTTATATTTTTTACAAACATAATACCCATGTTTTATCGTCATTAAATATGGTGATGGCAGCTCATCTAAATTTGTGGTAACCACCATCTAAATCGGTGGCTTAAAAGGCTAAAGTTAGAAAAAATTCATCCGGTGGCGAATTCGGCTAAAATTTGTGGCAAATTTCAGCTTATTCGGTGGTGCATTAAATTTAACCCATTAAAATGCTGGCTTAGTAGTATAAATTACACTCTTAAATAGTTGGTGTTAATCGGCACCAAACTAACAATGGAGGTCTCCTATCGTATGTTTACAGATTTGGACCAAACTAGCGTCAATCGATTATAAATATAATCAGTATGAAATTTGCAAATGGAACTATCTGCCAATACGCTGGTTTCGCGGAGATATTTGCATAAAAAGAGGAAAAAACGCACTCCCAAGGCTGGCACATATTTTACTCAATCCAACTTATGGAAAAGGTCACCCACTAATTTTAACAATTTTTATCAAAATTTTGATTTTCACGTCAAAATGTAAATATCTAATTATGGGGAATGCGGTCCAATGTGTTTCACCGCGAAAAGTTTATTTTTTTAACCCTCAAAAAAGGCATTTTTTGCGCTTTTTTGTATTCTTGGGGCGAAAAAGTTATTTAAAATGTTTTTCTGCAACTGGCAGTTGTTTTTCTCCCCTTAAGTAATTTTATAAAATACTTTTTTCAATAACATTTTCATGCTTCAGCCCCGATTGGTCTCGAGCAATAGCTCTTAAAATTTCACATTTAAATTAAGGAAAATAATTTTCAACGAATTTTAAGAAGGTATCAATTCATTCTGATTTCGCGGTGCGTGATGCCCGTCCATAAGTTTGGCCAAGCAGGAGCACACGCACCACGGCATCAAAAATAACCTAAATTACATCAGGTACACTTTTTAAATTTGAAAAAAATGGAAAAATTTCTGGTTCAAAATTCAAAACTTTGTTTTAGGAGAATTTTTTTCATATTTTTGATGTGTTTAAATTTTGAACATTTCATCTACGTTGGATGCGGATGGTGGGATTATCGGATCGTGGTGGTGGACAATGTATTATTCACAGTTGAGTAAGGGAGTCTGTATATAATGTAAAATGTTATCTCTGCTGAGCCCTGATAAGAATTTATCATATACAGAGGATTAGTTACGAATACCGAGTGGATGGTAAAAGTAAGTGCAAATTTGAAGCGACGGTGATGGGATGACCGATTTGACACGTCAGTAAACCAATTCACATCTGCCATATGTTTTTTTTAATTTTGTTGATTGAGAAAATTTTATCTAAAAAAATTTGTGTACGGTAATTATATTTCGATAGAAAATTAACATTGCACGTTAGCAGTTTAATATCGTCGCCGTTTTCGTTATGATGAAGAAATCTGAAGTATGTACCTAAATATTTACATACATAAGACATTAAAATCGTTTTTTTATTTGGGACTTTTTCCCGCTATGCCTCCCCTGTAAAACTTTATTTCAAATTTAGCAATTGTAAACTTTTACCAAGTGCGCTAGGTCAAAACTTTGCAAAACAGAACGATAAAATTGGCATGCTGATAAGCTGTAAAATTTAATTTTTAAAGAAATAAAACTTTAGGTCGATAGTGTCACGAGGCGGCTTCCTACTGAATTTTGTATTGGACAGCAAAATTTGGATAAAATATATCGAAATCCAGGTATTGATACGACTTTTAATTGGTTCAAAATGGGTAAAACAGGTCAATATAGGTGTCGAGATCAAAGAACATGGGTCAACGATATAATGGGTTCGTGAGTGGTACCCTTAGCATTCGGATTTTCCTTACTACGCACTTTTTGCATTGCTCTGACCTATCACGCTTGCTAAAATCAAAAATTTACTAAATTTGAAATACAAATGTTTCGTGTGGCCATAGCAAAAAAAGTCCTTTAATTTTATAAATAAGTGATTATAAGATTGCTTACGTTGTTACGTTTTCTAGGAAAAAGTCGCTAAATCTTATTCCGACGAGGCAACCGACGACCACTACTCTGGGCCTATCTTACTTCCAGATGTAAACATATTACGCTTGTTTTTACGTGTTTAAAACAGCCAAATTTAATTAAATGTACGTAGCATATTGATTTCAAGTAGATTGATCTAGACGTCACCAAATTCATAACTTGGAGAGAATCATAAATTATGCTATTCTAAAATCAAGATTTTTTAAATTCTCTCCTCCACCCATTAACATGTGTAACATCATAGGCATGACACAGGGCGCATAAACTTTTTGTTGTCCTTGGTTTCTAAAGGGGGTGGTGCGGGGATGAGAATTTTTTCTAAAAAATTAAAAACTTAAAAGTTGAATTGGGAATTACATGCAATTCCTGAACGTTTAATTTTTTAGAAAAAATTCTCTTAGGAGAAACCACAGACAACAAAAAGTTTATGCGCCCTGGGCATGACATAATTAGAAACTATTGCGCGACATAATTTATAAGCTTCCTCGTATGAATTTTTACTTTGTAATTTGCTCGCACTTTTCAGGTAATTCCTCACCTTTGTAAATTCCTTGCGATCGAAACCATAAAAACATGTCGGTTGGTCTCACAATCCTGGAATTATGCTGCAACTCCAGTTCTACTGGCTAGAACAATTACGATGATTGAAGTATCTTCGGTTAGGGATGAGAATAAAGTCCTCCGTGAGATCGGTGTTTTGGATGTCGTGGGAAAACTGAAATTCTGTCCAGTCAATATCCGTCCTCAGATAGTATATGAAACATCTCCGATAGATCCCTCAAAATTTCTGCAGATCAAGAACCTTAAATCAATTCGTGTATATTATCATCCAGGAGTTGGAGGGAATTTAACAAAAACCTTATCCTCGCTTCTTCGGGCACTTTGGAAGAATTGGAGTTGAAATGGGATGAAAATTTCCCTTCATTTCCAGGCACCATCTTTCCCAAATTGAGGAACCTGGTGATCCTATGGGGGACTGTAAGGTCTTCTGATCACAAGGCCATTCAAAACCTAAGTCAACCTATTATGGAATTGTTCCCTAATTTACAACATCTCAAGACGGACTGCAAGACGTTTGGGGCACTTTCGGAGTTTGGAATGCTGCAGGGGTTGCCACCGTAAGTTCCTCTGGGTAGGGATGGCGAACTTGTCTGAATTAATTGTTCAATATGTCTTAGGTCATTTAATTCCTTCGCGGTAGAAGGAGGGTTGGACGCTACTCCGTTGGAATGTCTGCTGAAAATTCCTAGTGGCTTAAAGAAACTTTCGCTGAGCCGAATTTTCTTTAAAAATGATAAACTTCAGTTGAAAGAGGTGCCCATCGTTCTGTACAAATTGCTGAAGAAACAGTCACCCAGTCTGGAAATATGTTCTGTTTCCTTGGGAGGCGACATGGAAAAACTTTCCTGGAGATTCCCAGCATTTCCAGTCATGACGATATTAAAGATCTACAACAGTGGGATCTTTCGAAACGTCCAATTTGAAAGTAGTCTTGGGTCAGGAATATTTGGTCGGATTGATTACCAGATGAGTTTTCCTGTCTTGGAAATCTTGCATTTTTCTACGTATTTAAATCGTTTTTCCAGTGTTGCTGCATTTCTTCCATCGAAGGGTAGCGGATGTCCTACGGTGAAGGAAGTTGATATAGATTTTTTGGTCGTTCCATTCCGTGATGAAGATATGCCAATAGCTTCCATTTAATCGCGGTTGTTAGAAGCGTTTCCCACTGCAAGGTATTCGGTAACGTAATTACTTTCAGCATACAATACTGTATTAAATGCTTATTTATGTGCACATTGTTCATGCTGCTTATGAAGATATACATAGATAGTGATTTTATTTTATTTCGTCGTACTAATTCTAAAAAGACCGAAGTGCAGTCGATGATTAATTTTAAAAAGACCGAACTACAGAAAACAAATTCTAAAAAGACCTAAGTGCAAACATGTATTTACTTATGGCTATATCTTGCCAAAACGATTTTTCATATATCGCGCGATTTAGCCACAAGTAAATACATGTTTGCACTTAGGTCTTTTTAGAATTAATCATCGACTGCGCTTCGGTCTTTATAGAATTAATACGACGATTTCTTTTGCAGGGTGTTCAAGAAATCGCAACGCCCAGCAAAGTTCCAACAAAACGTTCTCATGTAGCAACCTTTACCCTTGGACAACAGCTCCCCTCCCCCGATTGTTAAATAAATACATATTATTAAGCAGTAAGAATAAATTTGAAGCCTTGTAATAAAAAATATTTGATGATATGATAAAAATAAGATGCATTTGAAACACTGAGCTGAACAGACGTGTCCGCTGCTCGCTCTCGTTTTTCTTGTTTCTCCTGTGCAGCATTGTGCCAAGTGCCTTCACATCTTATATTGTCTTGTACGATTAAAGTAACAATGAAATAAATTATGTGCTACTAAATTTTGCTACCGTAACTTTTATTTTTCTCCTTTTTGTGTCAATTTCACATAACATCTGCAACTTAGGATAAGGGAAGGGAATTGACAAAATTGTGTACATTGCCACGTTGCCAAATGGACTGACTTTGTTACAATTTCGTGTCAAATTGATACTTACATTGAGTGAAAAGTTTTCGCTCCAATCTAGTAGCAATTTCTCACCAAACCGGTGACGTCATACATATATGTGTTGTAACGCTCCCTATTCGATTATGGGATTGCGTGTCCTGATTCACATCCACTTTCGCGGATGCCCCTTTTCTTTGTGACGTTGTGCAAGAAATTTGTAGTAGAAACTCACTTTTTTACAAGAATAATGAATAAATTTATTTACATCAATACCGACTGAAAAATATTGACTTTACAGAAATGCTCGTATTATAAATACGTGGGAGAGCTAATGCTATAATTTATATTTTAACTAATTATCTATACGGGAACTTATTATTAAGTTTTCGAAAATCTAAAACCTTGAACTTGATCTTGATGATCACTAAAACTAACCTGCTGATCCTGAATCTAAAACAACACTCTATTCTCTTCTCTCTGCTTACTCTATATATACGTGATCACATAAGCCACGCCTACTTGATCACTACCTTTACTTACGCTACATATGCACAAACTACGCCCTCATGATCATGATGATCATGATGACGTACGCATCATTCTGTGCTCCTCATTCCTATCCTCTCTTCCCCTTCATGATCTCCTCCTGCACACAATATGGTTTGGACACACATGAGAGGCGAGATACTTATGAAAACTACATCTATGTATTTTGAATCCCTTGACCTTTGAAATCCTGATGTCACATTTGCATCAGCGTTCCAAAGGTTGCAGTGTCTATCCACATATCGCCCGGTACCAACCTTTTGACGATTTTGTTTTGAGTGTGCATAAATTAAGCAAAAGTAGTTGACCCAGTGATCGGGACGTCAAACAGTGGCTGCGAGGTTAGTTGGAGATACTAATTTTAAGCAATTAATTTTAAGCTGTTTGTCCATTATATATATGTTAAAAAAGGATCATTCTAGATAACATTTTCTTCTACCAATCCAGTCCCAGCACGACCGTAATAGTGCGATCCAACCATCCCTCATATATCTCAACTAGCGTCAATTTTCCCACAATTCCAATCCCGCTACATTCAATTCCAATCGGTTTCATGGCTCTGGCACACCGAACGTGATGCTTTAATACCCTCTTATTCCCCCATAGGGGGATTCTCTTTCCCCATTCCTCCACAAACTGGGTCGATACGATATTCAATTTCGCCGCGAATGGGACCACCGTCGCCATAAAGATGATCATTGTGAATACGAACATTACGAAAACGAGGTATGTGAGCACATCAATCTTTCCATAATACTTAATCACTGCGGCCATCGAAAAAATGAATGTTCCCGATGCCAGAACCGATGATACCGCCAAGGTCCATCGAGCTATCTTGTTGCCCCGATTGATCAAAATTGAGAGGGCGCCATAGTCCGCGCGGGAACGTAAGGAACGGTTGTTATGAAGAACCGCCTTGGCGCAATCGGTGGCCAGCGCGATTATTTCGAAGGCAGAGAGAACAATGGAGATCGCCCCGATGAACATGTGATACCCGGAAACAAGGGTGAATATGCATCGCATCAGTTTTCCCGGAAAGATCACTTCCCACCCGGATTTGGGGAACAGGGCGTGAATAAAGTAGTACCCACTGTCCAACTTTTGACCGAGGAAGGCCATCAGAGCCAACATGATCCACTGGACGAAAAGTGTGTAGAAACCGAGTTGTACTTGAAATATCCATAATTTGATTTGAAAGGTTGACCATTCCTTCGCTCCGGAAGATAGCTTTGTTGTTCGCCCTGTTAAAATTCTAATTTAAAATCTATGATGATTACGGCGAATGCAATGCGGGAATGTTCAACAATTTAATCTCTTTATGAGCTAAATATCATTGGTGAGGGATTATCAGCAGGATGCAAATAATTTTTATTTTTGCTGGGAAAGTTTGGTTGTCAAGTAAAATAAAATATTAGGGTCTCATTTAATGGGCCAGACTTTTAATTGAAATCACATAACTAAATATATTGAAATTCCATAACTTGAATTTCCAGTACTTTATATGCCTTAAAACAACCTCTATAACTGAATCCATCAGACACGGAATTTCATAACTTATGCATTTAATTATATGCAAAACCCCATTAATTTAGTGCCTTTTCAGGTAAATCTCTTGCTTTTGTAACCAATAGTAAACGATACTACCATGACCTAAGGGTGCAAATTAGTATAAAATCGGACACAATAAGGAATTTTGCAACTATTTTAGTGTAATAAATCTGGTATAATCAGGTATTGATTTTGATTTCTTGGTGTTTAAGTTGCTGCAGTTTGGTATTAAAATTATATCTTTCCGTAAAACCTTCCTACTGATACGGTAAACTTTAATACCGATCTATTACTACACCATATCAATCAGTACCACTTTCATAGTGTCATATCTGAATACCGTTTGGTATTTTTTGGATACTGGATTTCTAAGAGTGTTTAACACAGAATGTCAGAGACGTCAGAATGTCAGAATGTCTTTAATGTCTTATGACACGCGGCATATGATTATGACCTCCAACTGCAAAAAAATCTGTTAACTAAAGCATCGACAAGAAACAAGCTCCTTTAAAAAGTAAGTTGGGGTGCCCGGATTTCGTTGTCTACTAATCCTAAGTAACCGGTATGCCTGCACTTATATGTACATCTACATATATCCATTTCATTGGAATTGCAATAATCCAGAGAGACGAAGCTGTGACTATTGGGACAAAGTGAATTTTGTTGATTAAAATTCCTTAATTAGTGGAAGGTGAACCTCTCAGGAAATAATTAGAAAACGTTTTGCAGTTTTGTCGAATTTATACAAATTAATATATTTATTGTCAGGTAGAAAGCAATTCCAATTTGCGTTTACAGCTAGATAATTATTTATGAGGGATTTTATGTAATTCGACTGAAATTATGATTGATCAGAATGCAAAAAATAATTTTAGGAAATATTTAAGATTGAAGTTTTAGAATATGCAGGACGTTTGTTTGTTCTAAATTAATGCTGCTAAATAATTAGTTAGCTGGAGCACATTTGTATGGCATTTATAATTCCACCCCCACCCAAATTCAATGTTCATCATGTGCCACGTGTGATAAAAACACTCTACCACGCCAGTTCACTGGCGTGGCCAGACGTGCTAGAGTGTTTTTATAGGTTTTTGTATTTAACCGGCTTCCCCAAATGTCTGCCGTTATATTTATTTATATTAAATCGATTTTGCTCTCATCGTTGAATAAATCTATGCAATGTAGTTGGAATGTTTTCCATCAATACCAGTTACATATTCTAGAAAATTGCGAAAACCTTTTTCTTCAATCAGCCTGCAGCCAATTAAACGTTGCAGCTTTCATAAAAAATTCGCAAAGCTTTCGTCTTACATATGTATGTATATGTAAATGTCTAAGCAATCAAATAAAACTGTTGATTAAGTCGGATTGCCAGTTTTACAACCAATTTTATTGACAGATATGGTGACTATAAAAATTTCAAAAACTTAATAAAGCTGATCCATTTCCAATCTTCAAAAACTATCAGATGTACCTAACCCTTTAAAATATTTAACTATCCACTCAAAATTATTTTTTTGGTGCAACGCTTCCTCACTTAAATACAAACATTCAGAAGCTCAACATGTTTTCGAAATTCGCGTTGGATACTTTTTCACGATATTCCATCGCCCTACAAAAGATTCATTTCGTCCCCCCGTTTACATGGAACCCAGAGAAATGCAAGTTCGAAATGGATCCTACTCCCAATATAGTCCGGTGGATCCTGTCCAATCTAAACGTCGTCGTGACAATGATAATTTTGCCAATATATATTCTAACAACTCATTTCGCAAAACTGAACCCTAGTCAGATCGCCTACCTCGCATTAGAATTTCTTACAGCGGCGCATGCGGTGCCGCTATTCGTCATGGCCGTTATTGCCGGGGAGGAGTACTCTCACGCCATGAATACTTTTATCCAGCTGGAGCAACATTTGGCAGGTGAGCACTATATTGACGCTACAGCGTTCGTAATGATGTGACATTAAATACCACGAAGTTAAAATAAAATACTATGTACCTTAATACTAACAAGGCGGTTATTACGCAGTGTTATTTGAGTACTAATTCTATACGGCATGGTATAAATACATATTTAATACCAACGAGATGAAGCCACACATCAGTACCCATCTTGTTTTCAGTGGCAGGGCTTTGAAGGCAAGGCATTTACGTCTACTCGAAACAAGTTTGTTTCTAACTTTATTCAATGTAACAGACAACCAACACGTCTCAAAACCTCGCAGTCATCCGATCTGGTACCGCGACCGGAATGGCTTGATGTTCAGCATTGTTGCCGTAACATTTCTTTCCTTCATCATCACCGCACCAATCGTTCTCGTCCTGACGGGTCTGGATTCGCTCAACTACGTGTTGCCCCAGCCTTCCCAAACAACCTGCGCGATCTTCACTGTATCACACTTACTTTCGAGAATAATTATTTTTACCTGCATACTTGCAGAAATGTCCACCACTGTTGGGCTTGCACATATGACGTTTATTATGTTCTTTTTGTCCTCAAGAGCATGCCTCAGCCATATCAAATCTTACCGCCAAGCCAACTGGCGCTTTTTTGTAAAACACAATTTAAGAAGATAGCCAAAAAAAGAAGCAAACAAAAATAAGAGCAAAGAAAAACTTGAGCCGAACAGATTTCGAGGCTTGTCCGATTTAGAACTGTACTCTGTCCTTATGGTTCAATTCCGTCTAGTTCGTCAATACTCGGATCGTGCAATCGTGACTATGATGGGGTCTGGGTTTTTGCTTGCCGTCATGTCAAACTATGTAGTAATCATGCTCTTCGCTAAATTGCCTTTAC